AACCAGTGTCCCCTGCATCAGCAGGCGGACTCTCAACCACTGCGCCACCAGGGAAGCCCCATTGGAGGTTTTTGATCAGAGGATTTTATTTAAGTTTTTAAAATAATTTTCAACCATACTTTTTTAATGACAACATAATATTCTATTTTATTGATGTACCATAATTTATTTAAATAAGTTATTATTCATTATTTATTTACAGTTTGGAGTTATTATAATCAATGCTGTTATAAATCTCCTTTTAGCTATATTATTGCACACATCTATGAATAATTCCTTGGATAAATTCCTTGAAATGGAATTGCTGGGTCAAAAGTATGAATTTCTTTTAAGACTTTTGTGACATATTATCAAGTTATCCTTTGGAAAACTTGTAACAATTTATACTACCATCAATAATGTATGAGGGTTTTCGTTTCCCTTTACCAACCTTGGGCATTTTTAAATTTTTTAAAGTTTTTGACAGTGTATTTTATTTGTATATTTATTGGCCATTTGAATTTCCTTGCTAAGTTGAGATGAAACAATATTGTAAAACTAGGCAATTTCAGAAAAGATGAAACAAATTTCTTTTTCTTGTGTACGTTCCCCAAAAGATAATAATTTTTTTTAAAGTGCTGACTGTTATCATAAAAACCCTGAAGTATTTTGTAACTTGGGTTTCCTGTCCCCCTCCCAAGCCCGATAATTCTAGCTGTTCTTCCTAAGAGTCAATGAGGCTGAAACTGCAGTGCTTCCCAACAATAACCTCCCAAGACCAGACAGGCTAAAATGACCATTCCCCTCCCTCACCCATTACAGAAACAGCCAAAACACATGAATAGGAGTCAGTGTTCAGAGGTGCAATTTTGGAATTATCTTGAATTATCTGATAATATTCCCACATCTACATGTCTACTTACTGACATAAATTTATAAAATGCTTGGAAACTCTTAGAGATTACATTCTGTAGTTAAATAAAGGGAGTTTTCTCCCCCAAAACAATAACCAGTAGATGAATTATTTGCTTTCTAGCTAGATGCGATGAATAAAATCCTAATGATCTATAAAAAAATTTTTTTTGGTGTTCTAAATGATTGGTAAATGTAACAACATTTTGCCTTCTCTTCATTCTGTTAGCCTTAGATGGTAAAAATGTCATATATAGGGACATTATTCATAATGGATAAAATATTATAGTACAAAAATTCAGAATTTATTATACTTCATGCTAAACATTACTTTGAATTATCTGTAAAGGAAGAGTTTGCAAATAAATATACCCCTAAATTTTTAGGGCCAATATGATAAATGCTTGATGTTCCCCCAGGTATTTACAGAACACCAGATTCTCAACTATTGATATGGTGTATAATTTCTCCCATGAAATGTAATATATACCTAGAAACCACAAAGAAATTGTAAATATAGGATTAAAGGCATGTATGGAGATATTATCTAGCTGAACCATCACTTACTTAGATCTCTCTACTTTCTATAGACTGCTATCAATAACCCCCAGCAGTTGGTTTTTTCCCCAGGATGTGTGTATATGTGTGTATGTGTGTGTGTGTGTGTGTGTGTGTGTGTATACATACACCAAAAACATGTAACCAGTCCAAAAGCTTTACTACTTATGCAAAGACTGAAGAAAAATGTGTCTGCATAAGGATACAGATGGTGGACTTCAAGTAGGGTCACATGCTGAGTTATTCATCTAGACACATCAGCCTCATAGCATGATTTGAATAGCTGCCTCAGTAAATTACAAATAGCTACTCTAATATGTGAAACATGGAATGTTAAATTGAAGAAAAGGAGTCTATTTAAAACTACTTAGGAAGACTGACTATTAAGGTACATTATAAGCCTGTTCTTATATGTGATTGGCTGGCCTCTGCTTTCCTTTCGGATCTCATTTCATATTACTCTTCTTCCTAGTTGGTAATCTCCAGCCACTGGCCTTCTTTCTCTTTCTTGAACATGCCTGGTTCATTCCCACCTGAGGACATTTGTACTTGCTGTTTCCTCTGCCTTAAAAAACTCTGTTACCCTGGATTTCCACATTACTGGCTCCTTAACTTTCACACTTCAGTTCAGATGTCACTTCCTCAAAAGAGACCCAACTATCCTATATCTAAAGCAGTCCTCTTTTTTTTTTGCGGTACGCGTCCTCTCACTGTTGTGGCCTCTCCCGTTGCGGAGCACAGGCTCTGGACGCGCAGGCTCAGCGGCCATGGCTCACGGGCATAGCCACTCCGCGGCATGTGGGATCTTCCCGGACCGGGGCATGAACCTGTGTCCCCTGCATCGGCAGGCGGACTCTCAACCACTGCGCCACCAGGGAAGCCCTAGGCAATAACTCTTATCAATTTTGTTATTGATTGGGGGCAGGCTTTTTTGTGGTGGTTCAGTTGAAGAATGGGAATAAAACAAAAGCCTCTCCCTCCTCTCTTTCCCTCTCTCTCTCTCTCCCTCTGTCTCTGTCTCTTTCTCTCTGTGTCACACACACACAAATCCTGATAAGCACGTCAGTTCTGTTCATCACCATCTACACTGGTGCTTTATACATGTAGTAGGCACTCTATAAATATTTATTGTGACTTAATAATGCTTTGTAATATTACTAATAAGAAAAACTATTAGGTTATAATTTTAATTCTAAAAGTAATAGATGTAATTGTATTTAAAAAACAAATCAAGCAATTCATAAATGTATGAAATACACTGTGAAAGTCTTTCCTCTCCCTACCTCCTTAAGTCCATGAGGTAACAGAAATAATATTGGTATACTTTAAATTTTTTTCTGTGCACAAATAAACAGATATCTGTGTGTGTGTGTGTGTTTGTGCATGTGCATGCATGTGAGTGTGTGTGTAATATATATTTGTACTGATAATATACTGGGCATATTTTTCCTGCTTTTTCATTCAATAATATATCAGGAATATCCTTCCATGTAAAAACAGGCAGATTTAATGCATTCTTTTCAATAGCTGTTGTTTTCTATGTTATCAGTATATAGCAATGTATTTAACTATTCATATATTGCTGAACATTTAGAGTGTTTCCAGATATTTTATTGAAGAAGGGGCGTCTGTCTGTCTGTCTTTCTTTTTTTTGCTATTACAAATCATGCTGTAGTGAACAACTTTTTACATATATCCTTTAGCAGTTATTTGAATCTTTACATGGGCTAGATTCCTAAAAGTAGAAAAGCTGAGGTTATTTTTGTGCATTTAAATTTTTGACAAGTACCTCAGATTGCTCCCACAATGCTTATGCCAGTTTCCACTTCCATCAATGGTATAAGGGTGAGGATTACTCCCTCCACCCTCAACATCCCTGAGTATTATTCATATTTTTAATATTTGCCAATATGATAGGCAAAAAAGGAGTATTACATTGTTTTAATCT